TAAACAGCTGCTTTCAAAGTGCTAAACAGAACAGAGTACAATTATTTACCTCCAAGAGAAGATTTATTATACAAGTGTGTGATTAAAAAAAAAATAAGTGAAGTAGACAGAGAATAAAACAAACGAACTTTACGGTAGACAAAACACAGAAGAGAGAAAGTGAAGTTTAAGTTTAGATATCTGAAGTCCAGACTGAGTAATAGAATGCAGACTTCATCACAGTCGTCTTCTCTTTCCTTCTCTGAAGAGAGGCTCTCAGGTCCAGTCCACAACAGGATGCTCTCTAAGTGCCTCTCCTATTATGTAAAAGCAGCAGCTGCTAGAAGGAAACCTGGCAAGACTATCCCTTCCCATACACCTAAATTCCATGTACAATTCATCACCATCTTTAAACAAGAAATCACAAAGGACCAGCTCCAGGGCAAGTCTTTAGTTGACCTAACTCTTTGAAGACTTTCTATCTAAGAAGTTATCAGTAGTGGAAGTTATGTAACAGAGAAGAGGAATGAGCAGGCTTACTTATTTCATAAACAGTGCTAATGCAAACTGAAATATATGACAAAACTGTTTAACCTGTAATTTACCGTAATGAGAAAACATATAACCTCTTTTGACTAAGAACAGGGCAGACGGCAATGCTAATCCATTCTTACCTATTTCATAAATTATTTAGGTGTTCAGAACATACAGAGTATGGAAACTAAAAAACCCCATTTAATTAACGAATTATGAATTTTAGTCTCTAGCCTACTCAGAGGGGAGATTGTTCCTCTTTAACATGCTAAACTTGATTAATACAAATTCTCTATTAAGTTAGATTCTAATAGTAATCAGCTATACTGCCTTGTTTAAAGAAAAGCCTTTAATTTAACCACTCAACGCACAGAAAGGCTGTTTCTTCACAAAGTGACAAGTTTTGGGGAATCAACAGTATCCCTCAGTGCACCCAAATCCTAACAGTATTTCCAACTTAAAGATGTCAGAGAGTTTAAAAAAAACATACATCCAAACCCTCTTTCTGTTCTTCTAGTGACTTTTCTGTCGATTCTTATAGAATCTTTTCTGTTCTATGTGAGAAGCATGAAAATCACTTGCTCTTCCTCATGTAAGTGAGGCCTTTTAACCTTTCTGTAAGTTGGAATACAGCATGATTTGCAGAAATAGCCAACTGTAAAACTGACATGCAAAGTGTGTACAATGGTATTAATAAAAGAAATTGTATAAATAATTGTAATTATTTTTCAGGTAAAATATGTGGCTACAAATGTATGAAGAGAAAAAGCAACTAAAAGCAGCAAATTGTGTACCACCTTCACCTGAAATCCACACGAAGAACAGAGAGCCTGCTCAAGCAAAACATCCACTTCTAACAAACCTAGAAATCCCAGTCTTCATCAGAATCTAATCTGTACATGTCTGTTTAGCAGAGGATATTACAATTTCTGAAAACAGAATACGAGTATAACAATTTCAATGAAATAGCTAGTGAAAATAAACACTCCAAACCTTCTCATCAGAAAACATTTTTCTGTGAGTGTTATGAAAGTTTTTTGATGAGATTCTTTTCTCACTTAGGCTGTCAAAAATCAATGGCAGCTTCACTAAACTCAGCAGAGTAAATAAAACCAAAAATTAGGGTATCTTCTTCTAACACATGTATTGAAGACTACTTTGAGGCAGACCAGTAGCAAGTTACATGATTTAACATTTATAGCACTTGAAAAGCACACAGAGTTATTCATTAACAATTTATAGGATATGCTTCATATATGAAACCTACTAACATACCTAAAAGGAAGTAAATATACACACAGTGCCTGTCAATAGGAAGAAAAAGTATTTTACTGGAATTAAGACATGCTTGTATAATGAGTAAAATTTGGGTCTGCTATAGATGCCTGCTTAGCATTTGTGTAAAAGTCTGTCTTCAAAGACAGGGGAATCAGAGCTACTGCTTTACCTCATCTAATAAAAAAAAGTGGTGTAAAAGAGTTGCTTAGTTCCAGCTGACCTTGAATGTAATTGGCTACCTTGGATGTCTCTATGGTATATGCCATTAAGAAGATAAAAACGTACAGGATTAAAATCTGAACCGATAAAGCTAAGAAATTAAGTATTACTCCTTTAATAAGCCTACTTTATGAAAGTACGTGAATACCAAAATATCTCCTTACTGACTGCTGTTGAAGTGTACGTTTAAAAATAAGTTATCAAAAGTATCTAATATTTTATTTTTCCCCTTCTCACCTCTTTACAAACTACAAATAAAGAATTCAAAGCAAGTGTTTTTACTCCATGACACCGTACTCCATCTGAAATCACTTGTACACCACCACATTCTCCAACTTTTTACATATACTTAGACAGATTATTTTGTATCTTAAGATGACGGCATATTTTTTCTATTCTATTTTTTTAGTTTTTCCAAATTTCTGCAATATTTCAGAGTTTAAAAGCTTAAGAAATTGTAAGAACAGTTTTACAAGGTCAGGGTTGATTACTACAGAGATAAGACTGTCCTACTGTACTACAAAACAAGAGCTACAAAAAAAAACCCACTTTAAGTCACAAAAAACAATTAGCCAAGAGAAAAAGACCTGTCAGGCAAAATGCCAGGGCAAAGGCAAAGACGATTTCTCCTTGTCACGAATAAAGCCACAAATAAAGTGGGATTGTGGCAAACTGTGGGGCAAAAAAAAGCTACTGAAAGACTTTTTCTTAAATGTAAAAACTCAAACATGTTGAGCTGAAAATAAGTCTTTTTACCCCTTGGTATCACAAGTAGTTTGTGTTAGACTGCTACTTTAATTTAGGAAGTACTTCCTCAGCACAGTTTTGGAACTGTAAAACAGCAATAAAAACTGAAGTTGAGATGATGATTTAGGAAGTATACATTATAAAATCGTATATGCATGATTAAAAAAAATCAAGAAACACTAGAACATGTACATGTGTTGCCATGCTACCACAAATGATCTTGTTTCCTTCCTTGATGCAGTCACAAACACAGGCTGTTAGCAGCAAATTGCATTGTGGTTGTAACTATCGTAGCAAATGTCATGAAGGAATTAAGAGACATCAGTCAACCTTCTGGTATTTAAACAGAGTTTAGGGACAGTACACCGCAACAAGTCTGCAATTCAAATTTGGTTCAAAACTCCTCCACGGAAAGGGTTGAGAATTATGAAGTAATACATTTAGAAAACCAAATCAGTGTCATGGTAAGTGGTAAGTTTCAGCTCGAAGGCTTATTTTGTCAACTTTCTTAGACCCCATCCTATCACAATAGCTATATTATTACATTGTATCGTATCTTTACAGCTTTCAGCTATAATCAAGCATTTCACACTAAATCAAGTTGTTCCAGCAGGAAACAATGGCTAGGGGGTTGCATAATTCAGATCCATTTTAGGCTGACTGCTGTCTCAAAAAATTTCTATCTAGCCTTTAATTAATAGAAAAACAGAAGCTGTGAAATCTAATTCAGTATTCAATAATCAATGCAACAGATCTGTTTAAAACTCCATCCTATATTTTAAGTGCCTACAACTAACTTTTTGTTTATTTTCCTCTGAACAAATGTAAAGATGTATTTCACATATAAAGCAAAACATGGTGAAACATCATGCATTAATGTATGACGAGTAGATGCTAATGAAGATTTCAAATAGTATCAGTCTTCCGTTCCTTCCCTTCCTTATAATCCTAATATCCATTTAAAAATCTTGCATCAAGTATTTCCCAAAGAAATCAAATGCAAGTCTAATGGCTTATATATACTGCAGTTATATCTGAAACAAAAAAGCAATAGTATTAACAAGCAACCTGACCTAAACATTAACACCTGAAGTCAGGGGGCTGGGACAAAAAAAAAAACAACACATAGAAACAAACAGGTAAATTGGAAATGTCATTGTCTTTCACCCTTAGTGAGGTAAGGCATTTTTAGTAAATCATACTGCTAATGAAAACCCTCCTTAATAAATTTAACAACATCCTTCACCTTCCTCCATCATGTATCACTGCAAACTTCAAGTCTGTTGCAAGTCATCCTCCTTGACGTCCATTTTCACTGTTACATTTTCAACAATGGTCTCTGACATTTCTACTAGTTTTGTAGCTTCCATCTTTTTGCTTCTCCTCCCGCCTCTTGACATTTGTTATCACTTCCTCCCTAAGTCTTAATCAGAATCACAAGTACTTCCATTTCTCAAAATACCAGTGAAGCAGTCTCTTTTGTTCAACTATCAATTCACAGAAGTATACAGGGAGGTAGAAAGACATTAGTAGGGTTGAAGAGCAGACACAAGTAGCAAAGCTTGCTTTAAATAAAAAATAGATAGAAGCTGCAGTGCTCAGGCCACCACACATTACTGGCCTGCCATCTCAAGGTTTCTTATTTCCCCATATTAGATATTCACCGGGTTTCAAACCTCTTATTCTCTCTGCTCCTTGATTTGCTATCAGAGATTCTGATAACAACATCTTTTCCCTCATTATTCATTGTATCTGGGGAAAAGTCTAAATCCTGATGAAAAAAGATCTTTCTCTACCCTCACCTAGCATCTTCCAAACTGACAAATCCATTCTCTACCCTAAGATTATGTTCAGGAAACAGCTAATCCAGGTTTTAAAATATACTTATGATCTCTGTCAAAAATCAAAGTATTCCTGTATTTCTTCCTTCATTTTTCCTACAGTCTACAAACACTTCATGATAGCTAGAGAAACTCCTGTTTCTTATGTATCACATAAAATCCAGACACCTCACTGATTACAGTTATTAGTGTACACCACCCAGTCCCAAAAGCCAAAAAGGGAAGTTATACCTTGAAGTCCCATCTTGTAAGGGTTTTCCGAGTACCCTAAAATTCCCATGGACTGAGCAGTATTTGTGTGCATTTGCTCCTATAACTTTATCCGCACAAGAACTGCAAGATTTGGATTATTCACTGAAAGGTAAATTTCTGGTGCCTGTTTCAAAAGGATAATCATCTTACCTTTACAGTTTCACTCAAGACTTGGTTTTTATCTGCTTCTTCACTGGAGTGCAATTCCAGTTTATTATTTAACTCCTGTAGCTGTTGTGCCTGTTCATTCAAAAGCACTTGTGCCTGATGCTCCCAATGTAATGCATTATTTAATTCTTCACATGCACTTTCAAACCTCTCACGGGTGATCAATTTCTGATAAGGGAAATAAATTATGTTTGATTGCATAACTATTCACTTGTTTACATGCTTGACTTCCAGAGTTCCACTTGCAAACATATAAAATTCTAAAGCAAAAGCGTGCTAAAAATGAATATTTAGGTTTCTTAACATGCAGATAGATCACAAAATAACAAAACAGCAGACAACTTTATTCACTGTATTTTTTTCAAAAAAGCATTCAGCATAAACAATATGCATTCATTTTTGTATTCAAATTAGCACCCCAGGTTGTAAAGAATCAATATTTAGAAGAAAACATGCAGATCTGGCTCCCAGATTTCAGTGCATATCTTATCAACTCTTGTAAACGCCTTCCTGGACTCTTTCTCCCCTCCCCAAAATGTTACAGAAAGAAGTAATTCTTCAAAGAAAATCATCATCTACATTTGAACGACAATCTAAAATGAGACGATTTCATCTAACTGTCTCAGAACTGTAAGGGAACAAAACCCATTAAGAACCGAACTGAAGATGGTTAGACATAATCTTGTCCATTTGAGTAAAAAAAACATTTTACCAGCTAGGAACGGGAAGAACGAATGTTAAATCATCTATTAAATACCCTCTGCTGGAACTGTTTTGACTGGGACACACTGACAGGTCTACCAGCTAGGCCTCAGGACCAACACGGGGCACACCTACAGAAAATGCTGCTCATTCTGGGACACAACTGTTTCGTTTATACTGTGCAAAGCACATATATCTGTTCCCTGTCTCAGATCAAATGTGAGTTCAATTCTGAATGCAACCTACAGAAAATAAGCACAGGAGGATAGGTGCCCAGAGAGCCTCCAGCATCCTAAAACAAGACAAATTTCTTCCCCTCCAGTAACGACTGAAGGCACAGTTCCATGAGTACAACAGGGAACAAACCAACAACCCACAAAATGGAATCAATCCCTCAAACATTATGTCCATGACTCACTATACTGTGGCTTCAAGTGGTTAAGGAATCTTTTTGTTGTCTCTTCTCATTCTCATTCCTGCCAAACAGTGCTATTTACAGATTAGTGAACCCACAGTGTTTAAGTAAATCGATCAGCGACAGCAAAGGATTAATTTGGCACGTATGCGCTACTGAGAACGTAGAAGAGGGCTTTTTTTGACTTGCCATAAACTTACTCCTTCAAGGAAACAACTACATGAAAATGTGCAGTGACTAGCTCAGGATATAACCTGCACTCAAAGATACAGTAAAATGTCTGTCATAATATTCAGCAAAATCCATGCAGAGTTTAAAATACTGCATTTCTGCTTTATCAACTTCTCATGAACATACGCAGCTCATTCCTGCCGACTTCACTCTGTTGAAGTGAAAACTACAAATCCTTTTAGGGTCTAGAGATCACACCAACATTTTCAACATATGGAAGAAAACCTGGGCTGCTAAAAACCAAGCACGTATTTACACAGAATACCTCGTTCTACAAATCAAACAGAAACTCCTGTGGAAAGGAGACACTTATCAATACCTCTGACTTCTAGTTTAGTGACATTTACAAGGCAAGTTTTCTGGAAAATTCTGTTAATAGTAGATTGATTTTATACTTGTTTTTCAAAAGAACACAAATCAAAAAATGTGTAAAAAGGCAGATCTCTTGTAAGCAGTCTCCTTTAAATCAGATATACTTACAGATTGCTTAAACAGCTCTTGCAGGCTCTGGGCTTTGTCAGCTTCTTTATTCATCTCATTGAAATTCCATTTGAATTCTGCCAGTTTTAGGCGCAGCGAGCGGCGTTCCACCTCTGCCGTATGAAGTCTTTGTGTAAATTCAAATATTTGCTTCTGCAATGATGCTATGCTTTTCTGTTAGTAAACAAATTCATGTGCTATAAAATGTGCTATAAAATCAATCACATTTAATACCCAAGCAAATTACACACAGCTGTCACTTTGTTCTGCATCTCAAAGAGTGCAAGAATGTGAACCTGTTTCACCTACTGCTGAGTGTTACTAAAAATTATGTTTTCAAGGAAGTACCTGTTTTCACATAAGGCCCACAATAAAAGACAGATAATGTGAGAAAGAGTTTCTCTTTTCATTTTTGTTAAAGGGAAGAAGGTTATCTTTACTGAAAGACAGAACAGTAAGCAGGAGAAGAAAGGAAAAAAACAAAACAAAACAAAAAGAACCTTAACATTTAGTTAAAGCCAAAAGCAAGTTCATTCTTATAAAGCAAATACAATTTTGATAGAACTTTAAAACAATCTTTTTCTCAGATGCATTGAATCTCCTTTTAAAATTATTTGACAATAAAAGGTGTATTCACACCCTACTGCTTTTGGATGTTGCAAATCAACTTCCGACTCTCTATATAGTTGACTTCAATAACAGCCTCATAAACAACCTGAAACAAAATTAATGGTACTATCAAGAGAGCTTCACCATAACACTTAACGCTGTGAACCTAATGTTTACATGAAGTAGCACTCTAAATATGCATACCATAATGGGTAGTCTGTCACATAATCCAGCTTCCAGGTCCTGGGTATTTATTTTACTAAGTCCATGAGCCAGCCTCTGCACCAAGGAGTCTCTCTCCAGGTAAGTAATGCTCCTGCTGCTGTCTAGTGGAACAGTCTCCATTATTACATTCAGCTTGTCCATAAGTTTTGAAAAGGAGTTCCTGGCTGCACTTACAAGTAAGCGTCCAGAAAGCCAGGGCTTTCGATCTTTAATAAACAACAACAACAAAGAAGCATCAAGTAGATTATTAGTTTCATTTTTTTCAGTGGAAAAGCAACAACAACAAATAGCATCTTTAAAATACTCAGTAGTAAATTTCCATGAAAGAGTGGAAGATTGAGCTCACAGGAATATCTCAGAGACTTTGAGACAAATTCTGTGTTTAGCAATGAACACTATACTCCTACCAATCTTTGCATGGAAGGGTAGGACAGGATTCTAAAGAATAGGATTTGTTTGTCAAAGAAAAATTTTCCAGCTGTTTTCATGTTCTCCTCCAATACTATACGTTCTTACATCTTTCTTGAATGTTCTGATTTTGTAATTCAGAAAACATCTAAGACGGATGCAAGCAAATGCAAGCCAGGTCAAGTATGTCAGATATGATAGCACATGGTGAATCACTTCATCGCAATATTTACAATGCAAATTTCTGAGGGTTTCCTGACTCCTCTTCCCTCCCCTCTATAGATGTCTAAATCATTTGCTGTTCAAAATTAGTGAGGCTTGGTACCTTAATGCCATACTATTTATATTCTGAGACAAGAGAATATAATTTACCTTATTCCAAGGCAATTAAAATTTTACAGCTACAATTACTTATTTCCCCACAGGATTTTGGTAATCATCCTTCTCATATAATGGACTTAAGGCCCCAGCACACCCAACATGTCCTGCTTACTGCTAGATTCGTCAGGTCTGTAATTAATAATTGTGTTTAATGTTGATAAATAAAATTGTCAGTGCTCCTTCCACTAATTGGTATTCCAGATAACAGTTAATAGGTTTATTTATGCCTTAATAAAAGTCTTGTAATTTAGTTTTCCCTCTGCTAGGCAGGTCTTAATCTGTCATTACTTGTCTTATGATACTATCAGTGTAAGATGACAAGCATGGAAGAGCTTATTTACATTCAGTAGTACAGCAGATCTCCTGTTGCTGCAGTGAATTAAAAACATTTACTTAAGAGTATAAACAGAAAAAAATAACCATAGCTTTTTTAAGTTAAAGCATTTCTTTTTATATATTGCGAGGATAAAGCCAAAGGTTCAAAGCAAACAAAATGTGATTACTGATATTTTTAGATTATGATTCTCATCGTAAAGATTTTATCATTTACACGACATTAAATTTGTCTGTAAGAAAACAAAAAAAAAAGCACATGATAAAGTCAAATATTCTTTTTTCAGATCCATTTTCCAGCTTGGTTTCAAAATACCACTGTTCCAATGATCCCAGTGCTGAACTGGAGTACCATTTTTGAGTACATTCATTACACTTCATAACGAGGATTCCCATTATTCAGTACAATTCAGCTTCCACAACTTAACGCACTTTCTTAGCACGGGGAATAAAAAAGCAAATCAACACCTCTATTTTTTTAATGAGGCGTAGCTTGGAGTAAATACACAGAAATACATTGATATAAGTTACTGACTGCTTTGAAAGATGACATGAGAATATCATGCTATTCCACAAGGAACCGTATCCATAGTCATTGGGAAGAGAATATATGGTTTAAGTACACACATTTTAAGTACCTCCCCACAAAGGATCAAGCAATTACAATAAAAGTATTAAATAATAATTTCTTAGACACATCACAATGTACATTAATACAAACAGGTACGTCACAAAGCGCAATTAATTCACACGTTAAACAAATTAAGGAAAAGACAACATAAAGTGACAGACTTCACTTACAGATGAAGAAAGAATTCTTGTTTACTCTGCTTTGGTGAAATAGAAGTCACCAGTCAGAAGCATGAACTTAGTAGTACTACACAAGACCAAAAATTTCATGCTGAGCTTCAAAAGCTTTTTGTATGTAACAGTTGATGATATCAGTATTCAAAAACCTCGACCTTTACTTTCTCTGGTTTATCACAGTACAGATTCTGTTGAAACCAATTTACAAAATTAACCTTGCAAAAAACCAAACCAAACCACCCCACACTTTAATGAACTTGTACTCAAACTCAAGCTAAGAGATCATTCCAAGACATGCTGTCGTGAGAACTAATGAACAGTGTGAAAGGAAATGATCATGAATGTCAAACCAAACACACTTTTTTTAAAAGTTAAAAGCTCAAGAAACACGCCTCAAATCACCAGAGCGCACAAGACCAAAAGTTCCAGTGCTGAGTGATCTGCATTTCGTTTCTTTCAACTGCCTCAAATGGTTCTGCAGAACCTTGCCATCTTTAAAAAATAATTTTTAAGATACCAAACCATTCCACATTATAGTTCCAGACAGCACCTTCTTGAGCCTACTCTCTCCTGTGATGTGCAGTCTAATCTGGAACTGCCATGATTTCAAGATCTGAAGAGAGCAGATGCCTCTCAGACTGTCTATCTAGATTTTAAAAATTTCAAAATCATTTAAGTCAGTTTGAAGGTTTAAATTCTATTTGAAATATGACTTGAAGAACACAAAATAATTTCATAAGTATGCAAGCTTTCTTTCAAATATTTTTCCTTCTTTCAGAGCCTTATCACTTCGATACTTCTAGAAATTTCATGTCAAACTTTAAATTATTTATCCCTATTTTTTGAACCAAAGGTTCTTGGGAGACTTTTGATCTCATAAGCAACAGAATTCCAAGTAATACATCAGCAGTTAGATCTTGAGGTTCTGTGAAAATGACTTAAAATAGAGATAAGTTATGAAAGAATCACCAATCTGACTGTGGCCATAACATTTCTGCATGGCTCTTCCTAATTCTCAAAAGCAAAACTGTCTTGCATGCAGAGACATCAAGTAAATACAGTCCAACAGAATTCCCATATACTTCAACATCAGCAAAATATCATGAGGTTTAGGGTATTCTAACTAGTCACTTCAGCACACTGATGCTGCAGTAAAGTTTCTCTTCATTCTTTTCCAATTTGCCGTTCTTACTCAACAGTCTATACACAGGAACACTTGCAATACAAAAGTAAGTATTCTGAAATACAGTTCAAACTTTGTTTTGTAAGGATGTAAATTCACGTTACTGAAAACAGGATGATTGTAGAAGGAGCACCTGAAACTGAATCAAAACACTTATGATTCAATGGCTGACTTCTGGTACCATTTTACTGTTCAGCTTTCTGGGAAATGTGTCCTCTCCTCTCCGTCCTGCTATTTCCTCTCTTTCATAGTAATTGTCATTCCTTTAATATCCTTTATTCTGTGACAGAATTGTTCAAACTTTGAAGCTACCAGGTATCAAAGAACTAAGGAAGACAGCAATGCAGAGGAACCAAGTGAGATCTTATTTCAGTCCTCACTGCAAAGAAATTTAGGAAGATGGCTAACAGCTGGGAATCAAGAGGTGACATTTCCAGAGACCACCACTAAAATTTTCCATAGGCATAGCAGAATTCTATATGAGAAGAGACTGAGAAAATTAGGGAATCTAGACACAAATCTAATTAAGCATATACTTAGAAAGCAAACACAGCAGAAACATAAAATAAGCACTGCTATAGACTGTGTAAATTGAGAGCATTTTATTTCTCTCTCAAACGTAAGATATCAAGTAAACAAGATTAAAATAGTATCCATCAAATTCAACCAGTTTCCAGATTTGGAAATTCTAGATTCATATAATATAAAACACAGCATAAAATTATTGCCTTTCAGTCGGCAGCAGTAATGTCCCAGGTTGGGTATGTGCCAGTTTAAGGGCCTATACTTAAGAAATACACAGATCAAATAGAAAGAAATGATGTAGATTTTCTATATGGAAAAAAAATCATGTTTAGCTTCAGTAAAATACTTTTTGAGTATTACAACAGTGGAACAGGGTAATTAGAAAGCTTGTAAGCATTACTTCATTGGAAGCTTTTAAGAACAGGTTTGCCAAGTATCTGTTGGCCTGGTGTAGATGTTTTTTTTCTATCTCACAACACCACAAGCAAATCTGTTTATATGCTTTCTAGAAGCACTCTCCAGCTTTCTGTTTCCATGACTCTATATACTGAAATGATGAAGTATCATATCACCAATTAAAGAAAATTAATCTGTTCCAACAATACAGCTCCCCAAAGATTTGATCCAGAATAGTTTAGATAAAATCCCAAAAATGGAAATGATATAACCACCCTCATAGTATTTTTTCATCTTCTACTACAAGAATACAATTTTAAAATTACCTCTTCTGTTAACAACATCCTGTAATTCAGTGACAGAACTGATTATTGCAGCAAGGAGGTTAGAACTAGTAAACCACCTGAGTGCTTCAACACAGTGAATTTGTTCCTCTTCATGACCTGTGAAACAGAATTGTAGCTAGCAATAAAGCTGAAAAATTTAGATAAGGCACACTAGTATCTCCAGCTCTTTTAGAAACTGACCAAAACTAAGTACTTAAGCTACAAATTATTTCTCTTTTCAGGACAATTTAGGCTGTATTAAATACACTTCCAAAACTACTAAAACAGAAAAGTAGATGTATCTTCTAGTTTGGAAAACATTTTTGACACCTTGTAGGGGGAAACACGAACTAATCTGGTAACAGAAAGGAATAAGAAGATCACATAATCTCTAAAGAAAAATTTAGAAGTCCTGCACTAATATTTTACCTGAATCAGAAAACACCTTCTTTTTTTTTAGTAGGAAACAGACATTAAAAATGATTAATAAAAGACGAGGCAATATGTTTTCAAAAAATATGTTGATAATCAATCATTTAGGAACATTACAAGATCTTTACCACAGACAAGATGTGGTAGCACCTAGTTCTGAAATCCATAATGCAAATATCAAGAGTATCACACAGTGGGAGTTTACGTGTACAGTGGTCACTTTTCATTCAATGATTAACAGACTAAGGATTTCCTTTTAGGGGAAATTACATTTGTCAAGAAATCCAGAAATCACAAATCCAGAAATTACATTTGTCAAAATGTAATTAAATTTGTCTCTATTAATAATAACATTACTATTTCTTATTCACTAACCATGTAATCTGACACAACACTTATCAAAGAAGAAAACAATTAGCTTACTTGACAGATTATGCTTGCCTTTGGAATCTCCTATACAAACCAGAATTCCAATGCCTTCTTTGAAGCCATTTACCCAGGAGAAGAGGGAATTAGAAGACTGGGCTAAAACTTTAAGTCTGTTAGCTGCCAAAACTGCAATCACGCCTCTTCGGAATACACGAATCAGGCCTTTGAATTTTCTTTTCTTCAGGCTTGCTTCATCTTGATTGTTTTCCTCTACATCAGAGAGAGCATGAACTAGGGTCCTAATCTCCTGGTTCACTAATTCATAAATGTTGACCTGATCCTGGAGAAGATCTCTTTGGGAAGACATATCACACAGTCGGCGACAGAGAGGATACAGGGCACCGGCCAGTAGTGCACAGCCTGCCAGAAGAGATGAATGCTCCTTCTGAACCTGTGTTAACGTATTTTTCACAGAAATATTTTCAAGGGCCAATTTCTCCTGTCTTTTTTCAAGGACATAAATTTTTTCCTTGTTTTTCTCTGCTGTTTCTTGGTATTCCTGGGATAATGGGAAACAACAAAACCAGAGGAAATATTAACTGGAAGATATTTTTTAAGATAACAAATTAATTTTTACCCAGACAAAGGCTAAAAGAAAATAATTTTTTCAGATTCAAATAAAGGAACAAAAATTATTAGTAATGACTGTCAAAATATCTCTCCAAGCAAACAGTTACAGAACCAGACACATGAAAACAAATCAATATTATGAGGAAAATTTGCACAGTCTTCAACTACAAAAGGACTCCAGATTTCTGATGGTAATCCACTAGTACTGCAATAGCCCACAGAAGGTCCAACAGTACCTGGTTGTCCACAATACAGTTTTACGAGTTGGCTTAACAACAAGCAATTACATCCTCCAATTTCAGAAAGAACATTGCTCTTCAAAGCAGAACAGAAAGTTAGTGTAAGAGAGAGGAAAAAAAGCAGGAAGACTCTGGAAGATAAACCTAGACAGATTGGCAGCAGCTGGGAAAGGGGAAGTAAAGGTGATCTCTTAATTACTTTGTAATCAACCCCCTACTTATATATTCACAGATTAATTAGGTCTCATGCAGAATTGAGTTTTCAAAATAACAGTGTAACACAGTAATTTTTATTTTGACTAGTGCTATTACAGATTTCTTCAACCGGCAGAATATTTTTTCTTTTCCTCTACATGCCCTGAAACAGGGAAACAGGGAGATTTAAAACAGTAAACCAGTGTAGCAAAATAAAGACACTAACAAGCCAGGGAATGGCAGAACTAAGGTTAGACCATGAAGACGGGTTGCTTTTCATAACACGCAGTTTTGCACAGGAATTAAGACACTACACTGGGACCTCAGAGACTCAGACCAGCTTCTTGAAACATGGGAGTTCTCTGTGACTGGAACAACCACTTGAGGATACGTTTAAACAGGATCCAGCGGTATAAGGAGATAACAAATATCAGGCACTGTTCACAAAGAACCCGCAAATTCAAGTTAAATGCTTACGCTCCAGCTACAATATATGGACACAAAAAGGCAAACATGAATGGAATTACAAGTTCGTATGATGAAGAAAAGAGAAAACTACGCTAAGCTTCAGCTATCTCTCCTAGACCTATAGGTAATTTTGTTCAAATGGGTGAGGTTATTCCTGTGAGCAGTGGCCAAGAGAAGTAAAATGGTATCACCCAGGCACATTCCCATGGGTTCAATTTGATACAGGTCCCAAGCAAGTGGTGAGGGGGGCATCCTAGTTTCTTCTCCCTACTCCATCCTGCAAGCACAACAGGGGAAAAAAAATACACAGCTATCCCTAAAATAGAAATAAAAGATTCTACACTTCTACCCTAGTCAGTTCAGAACAGTTAAAAATGTCTTTAAATAGAATAGGTAACTAAAAGATTTAATTACAAAATACAATTTACCTGTCACTTTACTATAAAATTAAGTATGAACTTGTACAATACTTTCACTGCTACTGCATTATTTACAGTGTTTGATTTTTATAGGAAAAAACCTCTGATAGCATGACTGGGAGGAACTGAAAAGGTAAGCTGAATTCAGAAAACAACTTATGGTTTCTGGCCATCACAGGTGAAAGGCCAATATCTGAGTAAACAAAGTGTGATGCCTACAGGGCTGTTGGGCAGGAATACTAACATTCAGTGGCCTGGCTAATTAAAGCTTATTTTTTAAAAAAGCTTAGTATTTTTAGCTTATGGTTATACGGTAATGTGCAAAAGTGAACAAGACAATCTCTGAGTACAGAAATGTAAAAGTTTTGTAAGAAAATACACCTTATTTTTACCAGCTAATAATTGCTTTTGTCCTACCCCACACTGTTTCTTTGAAGCTTAAAAGCACAGTTTTTGAAAGGGACATAAAATTCTTTTCCTAGACATTGGCAAGCCAGCTTACTTTGGTGTTTGAGCTTTAAGGGACACTCCACTGGGTTGCAGAGCTTGGTGGATTCCACGAATCCTTAACAAAAAAAATCAGGTGCTACTAGCAACACTACTTTATCCTACTTCTTACTGTGTCCTTGGAAACATGAAAACAGAACTGGAAACTACAAATACAATGACAATCTGACTTCAAAAGGTTTTCCTGTACTTCAACTGTTTTATTTTTCTAAATATATACATCTATACGCCTAAATAAACAACATCAACACCACTGTCCTCCATTTCTTTCCTGTGTTTTAAGTACATGGGCCAGACATGTCTATCAAAGAGACATGGTGGGTCAAGAACAGTACAGTTACATGTACTTCTGCTCGTTTTGCATTGATTGCACTGACTTTTGATACAATTGCAGGATACCACAGCCTTTAGCTAATTCACCTGCCCTGCTGTAATAGCAAGGCTTTCAAACAAACCAAAAAAGGCAATAAAAGAAAATACTTTTTTTCTCCCTAGAGGACTTTTTCCCTTTCCTATTTAGCAAATCTTTTCTTTTTCTGTTGAAATTAACATTTTTAAAGTAGTTCTAGGATTCTTCTCTTACTACACGTTTTTGCATATCAGAACAAAACTCCTGTATTTTAAGTGGTTGCCAAAAATAATGGGACAGATTAATAAATGTCTGCATAATAAACAAACAACAACTGACAGTTAAAATTCAGTGGACATTTCCTATGAGACTGTGCACAATCTGAATAAATCATTTGTGTCAAGCTAAGGAACAGTCACAGTAACATTTTCAGAATGGCACTATCAAATCAAGAGGACTGCACTCCTGCTACACAAGGCAAGGAAAGAGGATATGCATTTTAAGCTCCATTGACTCTCCAAACACGGAGATCATGGACAAAGAGCAATATCTATAGAATGCCTTGTTTATTGCTGATCTGCGATAAGGCCACTCTGAGAATTTCTGCCCTACAGAAAAACAGTGAAACTGCCTTCTGATTACACCATCCATTTGACCTACTGTAACAGCCGTGAAGCAGTACCCACTAATATCCACAGATCTCATCTTGGAGTCAGGGACCCTAAACAGTTCTGGCTGGGAAAAGAAGCAGCAGCAGGTGTCACTGCTACCAACACCTCCAAAGTTTGCAATGTTACATTCTGAAAAGCCCTAACTCTTTACTGCAGTTCTAAGAAACCAAAATAATAATTTCCAAGATACATTACTCATACTGTCATGTAGTTAAGGCTCTCCGTTAACCCCCGAGAGTCTGAATTGACAATCCTCAGTCTGCCTTCGCACATGTACCAACAATTGGAAAAATTAATCAAGTATCAACCCACGAGCTCTGAGGAGAAACGGTCTAGAAGGGGGCATAGAACACTGGTTGAAGACAAAGTTATGAACGAAAAGATGCATCCTATGACATACCATTAGCTTGGTACAGGACAGCAAGAATCCCTCATATTCCTGTTCTAGAAAAAAACTAACATCTACCAGGGATTAGTTGATTAAACTGCTTGTAATCAACCCTCAGATCTTTGGATGGAAAAAACAGCAAATTGCTACAGTTTCCTTGTAGCACTAGAATAAATGTCCTACAGTGATGAGACCCTCAGTTCTACAATGAAATACAGAATACTGGCAAATTGTATTCCATTTACATTGATTATATGTTTCCTATAAAATTTAACGAATATAACCTGTTAAAATAATTAAATTTAAATATGGCATTCTCTATCTTTCTATAAACACTGACACTCAGTAATATCTATAAAACCTTTTGAAGACATTCCATAACTTGTGGCGCATTTTCCCTTGTTTCCTGTGGAAATAAGGTTACAACATTAGTCTGTCTGCACACCTCTGATCCACGAGAGCAATGATCTTGCAGACAAATACAGCTAACAGGCTCAAAATGCAGTATGTAAAAGACAGCCAAGTCTTATGAAAAACAAGCAATCAGGACTAGGACAGCCCTAACAGCAGACTTCCACGGACCCTACGGATCCCATAAAGGCCTAATCTGGTATTTGCAGGTACAAAGTCAGTCACAAACTAGAAATCCAGAAGAAAATAGACTGTCTTCTACCCAAGGCAAACTGGAACACAGAATGGAAAAAAGATGAGACAAAGTTTTGTTGAATCATCTAAGTGTATACAGACATTGCGCTGCCTAGATTACACCACCACCAGCTTGTACTCCAACACTACATGACCTGTGTTATAAAACACGCCCAGATGTTTAAGGGCACGCATTTCCCTTTTAGAAACCCAGTAGTCCTGCACAGCAAGTTGACAGATAAAGTCTTTTCCAGAAGACACGTCTAATGCACAGTCCACATAAGAGAGTCATGTTTTCAGTACACACTCTGCTTGCTGTCAAAACGAGTCAGCTGAGAAGACTGGCAGGTTCAGCACCATCCTGAAGAATGGTGCAGTCCTGCACAGCACCAATTCTCCACAATACGCCACAGTTCCAAAACAGATGATTCATATCTTTCTTTTGTGCAGCATCCATAGAAGTTAGAAAAAGAACTTTAAATTAAATTTTATTTTGAATTTTAAAATTAAAATTCAGTTTCTTCTAGTCATCATTCTTTTTGTTGGCAATGATTTCATAAGATGAAACTATATGATGCTGGGGGAACTTAATAGAAATCTGGATGCCACTTATTCCACTCATAGGGATATTTTTAACACTGCCAATATCCAATTGAAATGTAAATGTAAAGCAAAACATATATACAAGATTTCAACTCATTCCCAAGAAATTACAGCAAATTGCTCTGTCTAAAGAATACTCCATAAATGTATTTTTCAGAATGCAAAGACTTCCAAGCACAAAACATGAGTCAAATACAGCATTCTTCTGATGCACTGTTTCACATAGCAGTCACAAATAACAAGGCACATCTTATTTCCTGTATTTCACAACACTTTTAACTGAAACACATGTAAAGGAATGTGACTGTAAAGACATGAATCGTGGTTGTAAGAACAACAGTGAAAATTTTAGATGGCAAATTACTTGCTTAACTATCAGTAACAAGAGTTTTACACTTTTGAACCACTGGTCACTGTAGTATCTGTATAACAATGTCCTTTAATACTGTTGAAATCTAACACTGGCACTGCTAATTGGTTCTTAGGGTCAGAATGTATATACCTAAATTTATCCCCAGATGACACCACATTACTGTTACTCTACAGAGTCTTTGCAAAGCATACCACCGAAAAAGTAACTGCTGACCTACATAATTCTTAAAATTAGCAACTTCAACCTTACAGCTTTAGCATTCTCACAAAAAAATCACTAGCAACTGCTAGACCAAATTAAGCAATTAATTTCTGGAATGTTTTCACAAAGTCAATTATTTCTTATGATCAGTGAAATTAATACTAGCACAGTTTTGTGTGGGTTTTTTTTTTCTTTTAAAGACTTATTAAAATTCCCAAACAACCTTAAATTGCTTAGGAGCTTAAACTACTGAAATAATCCATTAAATATTTACCAGAAAAAAAAAAAATCTCAGAAATTCACAGCACCATACCTGTGCCCTTGCATGAACTTCCCCAAGGAGACCCGAGTACTGCTGTTCCAGATACTTTTTTTGTTTCTGCCAACAGCTTTCCTGGGCTTTCATCTGTTCAGCCATTTTGCTAAAAGCATCTTCCTGGTTCTGCTGAAGCTCCTTCAGATTATCGGACTTGTTCTTACAAATATATTTTAGATGAGATATCTGTGTGACAAACGTTTAAAAAGAATTTCTTTTACCTCTCAAAATACCTTTTTACTTTAATTGTACATATTAATTTAAGCACAGACTATTACACCATAAAATCTAAATAGTAATTTCTCCAACTTATTTATTAAAACTAAGTAAAAGCCTCTCACAACAGATTACTTGAATCTTGCAATAAAACTGAGACATAATTTGGAACAATTCACTTGGCGTGGCTTCAGTTTTGCCATCCTTCTACCACCTGGAAGACATCTGTTGCCTTCTTTGTTAGAAACCTGAACCGGACACTTACCATATTCTTCCGAAACAAGCGCATTAGAACTTGTGCTGCTAAATTAGTAATCTGAGTATACTAGTCCTTTAGCAGTTTGCAAGGATTGCAAGTAATAGTGAAAAAACAGCCCTTAATTTTATTTTTTGTTTTATTGGAAAGCCACAACATTCCATATATTATTAAGTACTAAAATAATTTCAGGAAATTTTAGCATACAGAATGTTTTTCTCTCAAGTAGCTCATTAGTTTATGATGTGCTTTCAACAGGCATGAAGAGATTCACTCTGCAGATCCCATGCAAACTAAATGGAGGAATGAATCAAGCTAATGAAGACCTCTAAATACACATGCCTACACGTTGTTACTAGAGAATATCAGCAAGATACCTTCCAAACAGATCACACAAAACTGCAGGAGAAAAATTTTGTTCTCAGAAAGCAGGTACAACAGAGGTAACAACACTGCCCCAAACCCCTGAAAAGCTGGTAAGTACATGAAAAAAGCCCTAGAGACCTCACAATCAATCTCAATGACCACACTAAATTAAAAAGCAAGAAACAATAAGACACAACTCCCCAAACACTGTCAACAGTGTTCACTTCCTTCCCTTCCATTCCCTTTCCTCCTCTACTTCAAAAGGAAAATAGAAATGTACATCCAATTCGCATAATCCAGAATTTATTTTATACTATCCCTCTTTAGTAACTTCCATTGACTGCTGAGGTATTTACTGAATGATGGGCAGAGTCGACACAATTCACTCTAACCAGCCCTGTCCCTTACTCTGGCCAGAAAAGTGGTTGCAATTCCAGCAGATGAGAAACATCCAAAAGAGCTTTTCCCTTCATATGCCTCAAGAACAAAATATCAGTGTCAGGGCAGCCAAGTTCTGGAGTCACTGCTAGCCTGTAGGACTGGCCTGATCAACGGCATCAAAACATGAACTTAAATCCTAAAGAGTGGCACACGTTCATCCGTGGAGCCAGTTTAAGTTATTTGAAAAGAAATCTGGTCTTTCCTAAAAACGCAGGGATTTCTGGCGAGACAAGCCACATAAAATTACTCACATTAAAATCCTTCAGAAAAGTACAGCTTCTCCCTTAAACAAATATTGACATGTTTTAGAAACATAAGTATTTTCTATCGTATTTCTGAATAAAAATTTCATAATCCAAAAGTTACAAATAAACAAAAAAAAAAAACACACCAGCATTTTTTCCAGATAGTACCTCTAAATCATAAACATATAATTTGTTCCTGGAGTAAGTGCATTCTGTTTCTGTTTTATGCTAAAATAAAGACTTGCTTTATTAGTGTAAATGACTAAGTTCTTTGAATTGCTTCATCAGTAAGATTAATTTATTTTCTCTTAATTAGGTCCCTGTGGCTAATATTGGCTAGTACTATTAGCATGTCCTGCACAGAAAGTGGAGCTTAGAGACTTCATACAGACTTCAGTCACATTTACATGCCCACAGCAATGGCATCAAACTGAGTTGTAGACAAGCCATAATTAATGGTATTGAATTATTAACGTCCAAATTCTTTTTGAAATAAGATGAATGTCAGTCCTTTTTAATGATACTGGGATGTGGACAAATGTCACTGAATTTAATAGAGGTAGCTGGTGCCTAAGGACACTTACCTTCTCATTAGCCCTGTTGAGGTCTAAGATCAGGGCATCAACATTCTCCTGCAAGACTGCACAAAGCTCAGACCAAGAGAATCTATCTAGGATGCCTTCTGGTTGTTTTATCAGCACATAGCCTGCTACCAAACGTTGGTATAAGCTATGGAGGAAGGTTAGCTTCTCCTGAGACAAAAAGAAAAATTGTTGTATCTGAACAGTGTTAGAATCCAAAGATGCATCGTATGTGTAGTAATGTGAGCTGCACAAAGCTGAAAAAAAACCTCACAAAGCTCATTCTCAAACCTTTTCAAAATTCCTCAACTCCTTGTTAGTATTTCCAGTCATACATATTAGGGCCAGAGTAAGAAAGGAGTTTCTACAGAATTTATATAATTTGACATAGTATGTAAATAAAGCAAGCCCAATCTGCAGTGGTCACATCCACAAGCTGATACAGATAAAAATTTCCATGATATTAGCAGATGCAACTTAATCACTCATGTTAACACATCCAGGTATATTCAAATCATAACCACTTCCAATATTTACATAGCACACAAAAACCTGTCAGATTGGCTTGGCAGTAAAACACACTGTTCACACGACTATCACTCTAAAGTCTTCTAAAAATTGTCTCGTGTGTGGATTATGTACGACTAAATAGCTAGACAAAATACGCTTACAGCTTCATCAGTTAAATTCCACAGACCATGCCTCATTCATTTACACTGATTTTAGTCAGGAGTATAATAAACGGGTGCAAGTTACAAATAAACTTCAGCAACAGTAGCATGCAACAGAAATTCCAGCCTTCACCCTTTTAGTACATGTATGCAACTTCACAACTTTAAGACAATAATAGAAAGCTGCACCTCAAAAGAAACAGAGCCTTTATTCAAAGTCAGCAAACCATTGTAAAGGTTCCCATTGTTTTCCAGGGGCCTCAAATGTCGCTTTACATTAAGAAATTGTGGGTGGCTGAGATGAGAAACTACGGTTTTTCTGAGCCCTTTCCATTATACTTAGGTGCATTTTCTCACAAGTATTTAATGGTATTTTAGGCATTAAAAAAATTGTAGTTTAGTTTTACTTTGTCTCTAGCAGATCTTCTAATTCCCCAAGGAAAGTCCAGTGTGCCACCATCACTACATTTTCGCTTGAGCTGTGACAAACCACAGATGATAATTATTCATTTGGTGTGAAAAAAGGCATCCCAAGACCCCAAATCAATTCACATATGTTGAATGCAACCGCAGTTTTGTAGACATGCTGACTTTACAATATAGCCAGGCTTCTAGTTTCCTTCCCTCTAATCATTATCTGATGTGTATAACAATTCCAGCTGCTTCATGTGGACACTATTTAAATACCAGACCGCAAAAGAGGTGGAAAGAATGTTTCCTTTTTACTCAGTTGGCATCCATGTCCAAATTTGTGGAAGTAATGAGCTCAATATGCACGACAACTATGATAAAGAATATCATCGCTATTGCTAGTATAGAACTGCTTTACTGGGGAGAAAGAGCAACAAAATTAACATCTGTAAACAAATAAAAGGAGAGAAATAATAGTTCTGAAATAAGACTTTGTGAAGCAATTCCCACATACAGCACACCACAATGAGCTAACAGGTCACCAATAAGAATTTCTAGGTTTTGTGGCACGCAAGCAAAACTACCTCAGTTCCACATTTGCTATCAATTGCCATGTGACTCCGTAATTAACAACACATGATGATGATACTATTGTATGTTCCAACTGTAAAACATTTCTGTTAACTTTCAATTTGAAAGAAAGAAATAATTGTTCGTCAGGCGCAAATCTTTAATAAACTCAGCTGTTCAAAAATTCGAAATACTGGAAATGTTAAACTGTTAGTTCTGATACAGAACGAAGGAGAACCAGTAAGTCCTGAGATCTTGTAGGTATTAAATACATATTTCAAAATACGTATCTTAAGACTAAGAGTAACCATCTGATGTATGTAAACGTATAAAGCTGAGATTAAATAAAGACTCTTTCTGACAGTCATCTTGTCTCTGGTAATACCTCCATATCCTTCTGGTAAGCCCTGGTAAGCTTCTGGATTTCATTTTCAGATTCTGTGGCACGTACTTTCTCCTTCTCCCAGCATTGTCGTACATTCTGTAGTTCCATTTTTAAAGTTCCTATTGAACTCTCTTTGTCTGCACACTTAGTGTGTAGATGATTTAACTCTTTATTGGCATCAGCCACGTTATCTTGAGCTTCCTGTAGAACAGAGACATAGAACAGAAAGGCTGGTAGGAATTTTACTCTACAAAATGTTACCTTAGTTCAGTGCTCAGCCTCTGAGAAAGTAAACAGTCCTATAGCCACAAGTGTTCAGAAGACTCCAGGCTAAGCTGACTGTATCTTGTAAATAACAGAATTTTTAAATTTGACACTAGTCCTTCTCCACAGCTTATAACCAAACGGCATCACAAATCTGTCCCTAAGAGTTAAAAGCTCAATGATGCAGTGACCTTCGGAATCCTCTCTAGCCCCACAACTGAACGCCTAGTTATCCTCTGCAAAGCGGAGAGCTCTCAGAGCTAGTCACAAGATATATTATTTTCATAAATAAATCTCTGATCCATTACAGCTGAGTCGGTAGGCAACACAGACAGCTGTTGTTACCCACTGTATTCTGTATCTGCATGACAAAGAAAAAACTCGAGGACTCTCTCCAGAGCTTTGACCATGGGAAGAAAGTAATAGTCATAAACGGTCATAAATACAATCCTTATGTTACCAGTACCAAATCTCACAAGGTAAACAAAAAACTTAATATACTACTCCTTTTCAAGCAAAAGATTGCTGAGAGAGTGCACAGATACATATGCTTTTCTCTCCTACCTGCACTGGACTTCTACAATGCTAAAATTTGCTAAAGGTCAAACTGAAAGCATTGATTGTTTTTAAAACAATCGTAGCTGATTAGGTAGGAAATATAATAGGAAAGATACTCCTAAATTCATCAGACAATGACAATATTTGTTCTTCTTAATGATTGATTAAAATATTAAAGCAATGTTAAATTTCTAAGACTAATGTTTTCAGACTGTATCTAGTTTTCAACCATATTACAGAATCTTATTACCAAAAATTCAAAGAGATCAGCAACTGGTGTACTGCATAAAAAACAGCACCATCTGTGTGTAGCAAACTCAGTTCTGGCAAGACGAATACAAGTATCTGTTGCAAAGGGTTGCAAAATTTTTTCGTGCCTTACAAAAGTGCTGCAACCAAAGCAGAAGTCTTAAGTCTTCTGAACATAAATCAGTAAATAAAGTTCAGATCATATGAAAGGAGATCATGTGCAAGTATCAACTAATACGAAGATTCAATGTGTGCTGCAGAAGTATCTGTGACTAAACTGAAGTAATAAAGCAGCATATTCCCAGCAAAAGAATCTGAGAAACACTGGGAGCAGAGACATTCTATTTTGGCAGTAATACACTGCCAGTTGGGAGTTTAAGTTTAACCATGACCTCAGGACTTCCTCACTCCCTTGGCCACTGATGTAACCAGACAGGACACTACTGAAGTAGTATGTCAGCCAAAAACAGAGACAAAAAAATACTCTTGTTCAGAAACTAAAGAAAATAGTCCTAGGTGTTTTCATCAGTCCCCAGGCAGATTTTACTCTAAAAATTTTTGGGCTGCACATTGTATAACTGTTAAGGATGACCTGATGCTTCATACATGCATTAACTTGTCTGATAAGCACAAACAAAAAAGCACATTAACAAACAAAAGCACATCTTTAATAAAATGTGCTTTCATATGAAAAGAGGTAATTAAACGCTCTTCTCCTATTCTTGAGAAAAACAGTTAAGAGAAAAAAAAATTACTGATCCTGATTTCAATATAAAACAATACTTTGCAAATTGATAAATCTGTTTCAAATTATTTCAGAAGTGCAATTATCGAATTGATCAGTTATGTAGTCTAAGTTGGTAACCAGAATAAAAGCAGCAAGGCTTCACATACACTTGTAAGGTAAACTGTCTGCTCAACAGATACACTGATATAGAGATTTATTGTGACAAGAAAAAAAGATACCTTAAATCCAGAAAGATACTTTTTGCGGAACTTTCAAATTTTATGTTAAGTTTATGAAACCATACCTTAAGGTCTTCACTTAAAGCACTCATTTTCTCTTTGGATATCTCAAGTTCTTTTGTCATCTTTTCACACAAAGCCTTCATTTTCCCAAGCTGTGAAAAATATGGTGGTCAAACAGTCTTTTACAGACAGGCTACATAATTACTTGAATATAAAGGAAGAATTTTGTATGAAAACGTAGAAAAAGAAGTCTTCAATTCCTTTCAAAAGTACTATATAACTCTTTTTTAATGATTTAAGATAAACAGCAATGGCAGAATCCCAAACTGAGTCCTTTATCAACTTTCCTATTAACTCAAAATATCTGACAAAAAACCACAGACTTTGAAATGCATTTGAAAATATAACGAATGCAGATTATGATCTGGAGAGTGGTTTGAGAACGCAAGTTGTCAAAGTCAGTGGCCGTTTGCAGAAATTGTCCAGCTGGTCTTTACTTTTTACTGAGCACTGGATAGTATTCACACACCCGTAAGAAGCAGCTATGGTCCTGACTACGGAATTATTTGTGGTGTTACAAGCAACCACCTTAGAGGTAAGCTCATGACCATAATGTGTAACAGCTTCACTTTCCACTTTCAAAAAAACATAACAGTACATCATGATAATCTGTATCTTTGGTTACCTGATGATGAGGTTAGCGATACAAATGTCTGAAAAGAAGCTTCGAATAAAGATTTATTACACTGCGGGTTACTGCCAGCACTTCAGCATTAAGGAGCACCTCAGAAGTAAAATATTCCATTTACAAAAATCACAAATTACTTTGGAAATTATATTTTTGTTTGATTGCAAGTCAGGAGATCTGGCAGAATCCTTAGAAATAATTACAGTAAATTACAGAATACTATTGGAATATTTCCAGTCATTTTGTTGGTTTACTAGCCTTCTCTCTGTCCCCAAACATATAGCCTCTGCACTATACAGAAAGGCAAAAGCTTGTTATCTGTCAAAACACTTGTAGACCTTTCAGTCACACAAATGAACTAGATCGTTTAATCTAATGTTTAACACAGTACGCTGAAAGTGACACATGACAAGTCTACCAGCATATTTCACATAAACACACAGGTTTACACATATATTAATAAGTCCATCAATATGTGGAGACTTGTTGAAAATCTCTCTATAAAAAGACCTACTACATAATTACTCAAAACTAAACCCTTACTGCTGTGTATTAAAACATCCTGGTTTTATTGCACAGTGCCCTTCACAGTCCCTTTGTGCATTATTGTATTATTAAAAAGTTTTATTACTAAACATATCTAATACATAGAAAGCCAAAAGCAGCACTATCTATGGGGGCGGGGGTAACCAAGAAGGACAGAGCACTGCCCTTTCTGTGCACCATGAAGGTGCTCGGTGATCTCTGGCTCCATATGACAACTTCAGGGTCAGTCACACGCAGTCCTGCTGGGAAGTCTTGTGGCAGGTCATCAGTTGGTCCTGCTCTGCGTGCGATTTATTTTCCTTGACAGTTCATTCCTCTTTCTGTCAGAACACTCTCTTTGCTTTCTTAGCAGCCACCCCCTCGGTCTCCCCACTGCTGTCTCTGGCACAGTTTCACAACAAAGCACATCACTAAGCCAACGCCTGCTGAGTCGACTTTTCAACTGTGCTACCTACCACGTGACACTCCTCCTCCCAAACAACAATTCGCTGTGGGTAATATGTTCTGCCTTGCTTTGCAGCTTCCAGACTTGGGTCTCAGAAGAGTTTCATAATGACTATACACATCGGTTCTCTTACCTCACTGGGAGAGACCTAACAGCGCTTGCTGTTTACAAAAGTATAATTGTTTCCATGGTCACTTATTTTTGCGTCCGTTGAACCAACTGAAAGGTTTTGCGGGAAACCATTCTTTTCCCAACAAAAAGGGCAAAGTCGATATGCTTTTATCCTGTTTTTTTTTTCCTTTTTTTTTTTTTTGAAAAGACCAAACCTAAAAATGAAAAAACAGCACTGGCATTTTTACAATCCTATCACACCTGCCTTTCTGTATTTGCCAATTCTATCCACAGATAAGCTAATCACACGTTTGTACAGAAAGCATTAACAATGCAGTTAACTTCTCTCTATAGCCTTTAAAGCCACAAATTCACAAAACTTTTACACCCAAGAGGATTCATTTAATTACATTAGCAATACAAGTAAGAAAATAAATGCAAGATTGTGACTTTTCAGACAGTGAAATAAAAGGCCAGTAGGACTGCATCGAAAACATTTGACTTTTTCCAAGGGTAAGACTTCCAAAACTGCAATATTTCAGTTATTGTCCTAGGTAATTTAAAGAAAGTATTGTCACAGTCCTGTTTTACTTGAAAAGACCTCAAAATAGCACGAAAAGAGATTTCATCATAAACACACTCATCTCAGAAAATTATGCCACTTTTTAAATGTACAAGGGCATGCACATTTGCATAACTGATACCAATGACCGTTGAGGCTCAAGTATCGTGTATTTAGGAATACTGCGGTACACACTGGCCAACTCTTACATTATCATCATTTAACTGAAATCCTAGATATGAGTGGCTCATTTTCCTGAATGTTTATTGAAAGTAATAACCCCAAAAGGTTTAGTAAGAAAATAAAAACAAATCAGAAGAAAAAAAGAAAAAATTCTTCTCCCTGTCCCCCCAAATGTAAGTGAAACTTCACTGTAGGGCATGCTTAAGAGAAATACTAGTGACAGAGATTATTTCTTTGGGTATACGTGAAGCTGTCAACTCAACATTCCCACTCTTCTGACCTTTTTTACAAGCAAAGAGTATGTACTGCTGCAGGCCGAAGGCAATACATATAGAGCCAAATAGTGCAAGTGTTACCTCATTAGACATATCTTCCAGCTTGTTCTGGTAAGCTGTCAAGGTACACCTCAAAGTCTCAAGGACAGAGAGGCTTGGAGGTTTCTCTTTGTCCTTACAAGTGCCTGAAGAAAAATACAGAATGAAAATTAAACCTTAAAGCCACAGAGAGAAAACTACTCATGCTGGATGAGAAGTATTAAAATTAGTTAGAGCTTCAGTGACAATATAAAACACTGAACAGCAGCCTTGTTTGCCACGAGAGATGCAGCTGAATAGCTGTACTTTCACAGCAAATACAGCTGAAAGACGTTTGTACAAAAGCTTTAATACAGCATACAGAACTGTAAATTCTGGATTACATTTCTACCTAATGTATTTGGTATGCAGTCTTGCATTTAATTTCTACTGTTGTCAAGTCTGTGTCATTCAGTCAGACCAGCCAACTTTAAAACCATACAATAAGACACTTTGAAAAATACGTTGCCTGAAAGTTAAGTATGTTACACTTTTCCTGACATTATTTTGCTGTTGTGACTAAGCATGCATGTTATGATGTAGTACTTCATTTACCCAAAGCTTTAGCCGAAGATCACATAGCTATGTTATACTTGGACAGGTCTCAAAAACCTTTTAAATTATCTTGAATTTCTTTCCAAAGGAAATAATAAAATAAATTATCTGTGTACAGTGTCCTACATAATGTTTCAATTATAAATCTTAAAGCTGATACATCCATTATATACACACACTACACTTATTTGTTAAACCTTTAGACAGAGACTTCCGATCTGGTTGCCTTACACAGGGATATATGAACAAGTTTCAGCATTTCAAAGCCCATAGTACAATGTGCTAAGAAAGCAAAACATGACCCTTTGATCAATACAGTGTCAAGATGTCAGCTGATATTAAATTTCCAAGAACAAACTATTCACTTTTTTTCTGGTGTTACAGCAAAATGCTGTGTTACCGACAGATTCTTCTCAGCATTACTTATATTAATATGCAGCATTTATGAACTCATTTTGTAAATATTTCTAGTACCATCTTTTTCATGAGTCTTAACATGTTGTATAAGCAAAACTAACTTTACCCTTGCTAACAGCATCCTTATTTTGCAAATGAACTAAAAAAAATTGATGGCATTTGAACTCCGAAGAGGCTAAACAATCATAACTCCCAGCAGAACTACATGACGATACAGGTGTTTATCACTTCTGAAAGGTCAGTGTCACTATGCAATGTACCTAGGGTGGCTCATAAAGTCAAATCAGATACTCAACCCTAAGCCTTTTCTTTGGCTCGTCATAAAACTTTGTCAGCTAGAGGAGGTACTCTTAGACACTTGCAGGTTGAGGTTTTTTTAAGAATCCTATGGTTAGTGTTACCTAACAAGCATGATGCTCTACTCAAAGTACTATATAAAAATGATAGATTTGTCCTGTACGCTATACATAATGCACCCATGGTAGCCAATGGAAAATTTACACATATGCACAAGTCGGCAAGTACTGCCAACAGCTGTTGTGAAAATTTTTTCAATTAATCAGCCTCTTCTCTCCCAACCCTTTGATAATACCATAAAGTATAAGTACTATTCAGATTGGACACTAACATTTCACTTTGACTTGCCAGCCAACTGTTACTGTCAAAGTCACACCTAGTCAAACCAATGCAGGTTTGCCAGACTGCTCTCCATAACAGGACATGTCCCATCAGCCACTCCAGTGGACACCTATTCACCAGTTTCTAAAGGTCTGCAGAGTCAGGGAAAAGCAAAACCTTTTTAATGAGACTCCAGTGCCTTTAACCAAACCTCCAAGTCCTAGAGATGTCCCAAATATCAACGTTACATTTAGAATCAACCTAAGAAGAATTCAGAAAATCTGACCTTTTATGTGAAGTTTAGATTTCACATTTAAGAAAGAGACTAGTAACATGTCACTACCATTTTTATCACTTAACCACAGCTATAGTTAAGGATGCACAGGGGTCCAGTCCCGTCTTCTCAATTACAAGAGTGACTTCTCACTACTACCCATTGTCAGAACATTTTGCAGTGATCTTTTTGCACAGAAAAAGAAACCTACTGTTCTTCCACACTTCTAGCTCTATAGAAGTTGTAACTCAAAATTCTCATTCACTTAAAAATCATACCCATTAAGTCAATCTAGGCATTGTCTCCTATTCCATAGCTTTCATCAAGCTGTCTAAATAATGAATGTTTCTGAATGTTCTGAAGTCCCAACCTGCAATGCTCTAAATGAAACTTGCCTCTGAACTATCATAACTTGCATCATGTTTGCCAAAAACAGACTTTTGCCAGTAAACTTTCCTTACTGGCATTCCTTGCCTTTGCTGCAACCCTATTTTCCAGGCAGCCCAGTCTGCCGACAGGAATACCAGATTCCACTTTCCTGCATTAGCTGAAAACAAGCCTATGGCTTTAATACTGGCCACTCATAGAATCATTAAGGTTGGAAAAGACCTCTAAGATCATCAAGTCCAACCATCATTGTCAGTCTTCACACAACTATGCAGGAGACATGCAACATAATTGAAATGTCACTCTTTTGCTGGAGAGGCCCTGCTTCAGCAATGAGGAAAAAAACCCCAATACTTGAAGCATTTGCCCAGTATCATCTCAGAGTTAGGGGGAAGAAATCTGGGAAATTGCCACATTCAATAGGAGTCTGACAGGAGGTATACAAGTGAGCAAACTCTTAAACTTGCTGCTTCAGGCTTTCTACTAACATTACTGGGCCTGTCTAGGATAGAGTTAATTTTCTTCATAAAGGCTCATGTGGTGCCGAGTCTTAGATTTTTCACCAAAACAGTACTGGTGGCCAGCATTAAAAAGTGAAACTAACCAAAAGCAGCTAACACTCTCAGCACTTTATATTGAGTTTGCCTTTCTTTTCAGATTACTAGACCCACAATTTTTTTTTTCCTGAAATGAACACAAACTTCCCTGAGCACAAACTCTGTTCCTGAAAAACTACAAAATATGATAAACTGAACAGGGACAAAGTGAAATAATGCAAATTGCCAAATAAGAATAACAATGCTGTGGAAAATTTATAAAGGTCACTTAAAAAGGAGAAGACGTAGATTTATGCTTCTATTTTAGAATGTATAAAGAAAAAAAAAACCCACCCTTTAAAAATACCTCAGTTTTTAATCTTAAAACTATAAAGTCTTCTCTTCTTTTTCCTGTATAGCCCAATAACCACAGCCCAATCAGCACTTAAATGAAGGGGCTGGACTTTTAATGCTGACATTTTTAAGCAGTTCTCTCAACCACTTGCGTTGAAAGCTAAAAACGAAATCAAGAAAGACTGCCCAGCCAGGTATGGCTCACATAGCTCCTCATCTGAATCTGATTTATTTAAGATTTTTAACTTTTATTTGTACCTAGGCATTCCCACTTCAAATATGATTACATGAAACAAGAAATACTCTTACATCATAAATCTGCAAGTACAACACAGTAAGGCAATACCATTAAAAATTTGTTTCACACTTAGAAGCATAGTAAATATGTAGAACAAATGTCTTAGTCAATATCCATTTTAATATTAGCTTTAACGACTCAATGCACAGTAGAGCTAAACTTGACTTTCTGCCTCAACGGAGCCTCTGCAAGCTTGAAAAAAAAAATCTCTTTAAATAAGGTCTTTCAAAGTTTACCTTAGACAAAGCAAATTAATACTGAAGTTACTGTTACTGAATCCCTAATATCATAGAAAACAGATGAAAGCTGTTCTCTCCAAGGTTTACCACTATGAAGAACAGAAAACCTACCCAAAAGAAAATTACTGCTCTGGAAACTGCACTTTGGCAGCAGCGTCCAGCTCCCCCTGGAAATGCTGAAGCCCCTCTGGGCATGTGGAACTTTTCAAGACTGAGGAAAGCATAGAGTTTTGAAGAGGTTTTCAGTCTGACGTATCAACACTAAACCTGCGAGTATTACCCACAGGAATTGCGTTTATAATTACAGAATAAAACTGATATCAGTTTTCAAATTAAAAAAAAAAAACAATCATATAGCCCATGTGAAGAAATCAATGCATCACAGATTCAAGGCTAGGCTTTTAAGGACAACAGAAATCTCAAGAAGTTCCTTTATTCAATTTTAGCAATGCCAGGCCCTAAAAGAAAAAAAACACCTTTTTGGGAAGACCCAAAAAAATGCATATTCATTTAAAGGTGTCATACAACCTATTTACGTCTACTGTTGGTAAAAAGTACAGAAACATATCACAATTTACTTAAAATAAACCTGTTTGCTCCTCAAGCAACATTTTGCCTGTTCTCTTCCAGTTTATTTGCACGGTAAATTGGAAGTATTTTGTGTCTAGGATGTGATTTTCTAACAGGAACTACACAGAGAAAACTTTTATAGATAGTTTTAAATGAAGATTTTTAAAAGTGTGCTATTTTCACCTTTAAAAAAATTACTAGCTTTGATGTTGAAGTTCAGTTTGTTTATGTCAGCCACTATTTCAAATATTTAAGCAGGCAGCACTTCGTTGCCTTTGCTACAATAATCACATACAAAGCCCAGTAACAGAGTAACAACCACTGGCTTACAATTAGCTTTAATGAAAACAGAGGAATATTTGTTCTGTATTAGATCAAATGAATGCAACATAGTACTAGTCCACAACCAATAGTAAAAAGTATTGTGTTGTATCATGTGTCCTACACAACCTTTCTGAATATATGACCTTTTTGTTGCTGAAGGTTGCCTCAGAATTTGGCTCAGTTCAGGCAAAACATCTGTTCCCTTTGCAGGTATACTGTAAGGACTTTTTTCTCAGTTGGATTTAGAGCACAGCAAGTGAGCCCTTTTCTGACCGATCATATACACCCCAGCATTTGTAAATCAAGCTCTGGGCTGACAACAGCAGGTCCACATTCCGTCACCCTTTCCCAGCTAGCAAGGCCATTTGACCGCTGTGAGAACTGCTCTTATCATGTCATCAAATCAAAGCATGTTGAGAAGAGGGAATGCAAGAGGCATCTGCAGAATTCCCACAATGTAGTGACTTTGGAACATTGACAGATGCATCTGTCATTTTATACCTTCAACTAACCTGCTGTCCGCTGGCCTGACATAGCAAAGCTGTCCAAGAGTAACTCCAGCTCTCTCATGTTGTTTTCATACGTCTCTGTTAGAAAGACCTGGTGTTTCTTGGCCTTTATTTGACAGAGGATACAGAAAAGACAAGAGAGGGAAAAAAAGAAACCCATTAAAACAGTAAACAGAAGAAATACAGATGACAACGGTATTTTTGTTCACCTTTAAATTTAAATTCCTGCTATATTTCTTATTGCTCCTTTTCCTGAGCCAAGAGACCTAACATTACATCACAAATAAGCAACACAGAACCCTGAAACATACTTAAAATAGAACTAAAGGCTTCAGGTAGTCAAAAGAACAAATGGTTGTAAAACACAGTCTTGATCTTCTGCTTTAAAAATATCTTACCGAACATTAATTAACTGCTTCCCATCATGCAAGCCATGAAATCTATTGTTACACCCTACAAGGGCATCCAGAAAGACAACAAACTACTGGCAGACAGGCTAGAAATTCAGTATTTGGCACTCAGTCAAATCCCACACCTATTCTCATTGCAAACCTGCCTACTTTAGTTGTTAGTATCTTTCATGCTTGATAGTGATTTCTTCAATATAAAAAACTCCTCCTTATGCATGGAATATAAAGCAGCAGAGTCCTTCAACTCCTACCACTGAATTTTCTTAAAAAAGCTGTTCATAAAGTGCAGCCTATTGTTCAAATCAACACACTAGCTTTATTCTGGGGGCAGACAGGTATTGCGGCAGATTTTTTAACCATGACAATAGAAAGACTATATCAAATCATTCCTTCGATTTATATCTGATATAAAAACTTGCAATTTGCAGAGATATGCATCTGTAATTCCAGAAAAGACCAAGGTTCTCTTGGACATACATAGTTCAGACTTCTCAAAGAAATGTACAATTTTACCTGCTGATTGACAAAAAGTAATACACCTCAGCAGTTTAGGAAAGAAACAAAAAAATCCCAAAGCCCCCCAACAATCCCTCCCCCCTAAATCAAGAGGAAACTAGATTTAAGTAACTTAACAATTTTCTTCTGACAAAGGTTATGCTCAAAGATGTCTCATTACTTTTAATTACCCAATTCATTTTTCTTCGTAATTCTAACACCTATTTGAGTAATTTCCATTTCTACTTGTTGATGGAAGGTACACTTTCTGTACTGAGAAAAATCCTACTGTTTTTTATCATGTCTTTAAACTACTGCTTTAGCTATGCTTCACTGCATGCGTAAGGATCCAGTCAATTTCTCAAGTGTGGGAAACATCCTCCCCAGGAAAACCACTACACTGGTAGCGTATAACTGTCAGGCTGAAAAACCAAGAAATGCATTTAATTCTCTGCAGTATTCTTCACTATTCAGTTTAAATATTTTATAAATTTGCTTTACTCTTTCAATTTTAATTATATGTACTGTATATCAACTAATATATTATTCATATGTGTATTTCAATGTTAGGTCCCCTGTAGCATTTACATGCCTTTCCTTGCGTGGGAGTTTGTACTACACTTCATAAAGAATTTCCAAACCACTTCTATATATTCAAAAATAACTAGGCTTCAATTCTTACTATATAAAATTACATATATAAATAGAGCTTGTAATTGCTGAGTTCCAGTGAAAATATTTTATAGGATGCAAACACATTAAAATAATTTACTCTCATGTATTGATACCATCTCAAGGACCTCACATATTACAAATAAGAAAATATAACAATATGATCAGCATGACAATAAAATACATACTCCTTTTACATAAACCACTCCAGCACAGACAAGGTCAGACTAAATCTTTCCAGAAAAATCTTTTCCCATGGAAAAGTCAAATGTGAGAATTTTTGTCTATCTCCTCATCCAATTTTTACATTTGGTTTAGTTAATTTACCACAATTTAGTCAGTATATTCCCTTGTATCCAGCCTTCATCACTTCTCTGCGCTTTATTTGCTAACTGCATCAACACTCCCTAAGCCAATTTCAGTCTCATTCTCAACAGCAATAAAGTGCAAAAGCAAACTCCTTAGACCAGCCAGTTTCTCTACACTTCAGCTGCAAAGTATTTAGTATCTTTCCTTTCTAACTCTTATTTTCAATCACTGTCCCCTTTATCAGAAATTGAAGAAAAATACTGTAAACTACAGTGCCGGAAATCCAGGCACAGGTTAAGAGTCCAAAAGGGCCTGAACATATCGATCTAATTTCTTATGTCTCACTGACAGGTATCTAATATGAAGTGTGTAGAGTCATAAAGTCATGGAATAATTTAAGCTGACAGGATCTCTGGAGGTCATCTGGTCCCACTCCCCACTCAAAGGAGGGCCATGCTTGAAGTCAGGTTAGGTTGCTCAGAGCCTTGTCCAGTCAAGGTCTGAGTATCCTCAAGGATCGAGTTTCGACAACCCCTCCAGGCAATCTGCTCCAATATCTCAGGATCCTCACAGTGAAGTTTTTTCTCCCCCCCTTACAGGTAATTGGAATTTCCCTTTCTAAAATTTCTGTTCCCTCTCATACTTTTACTGCACAGTTTTAAGGAGAGTGTAGCTCCATCTTCTTCTTAAGCACCCATTTGATAGTTCATGGCAGTAGCTATAACTCCCTTACTTTTCTTCAGTCTGAACAAACACAGAAAGTATACATGACTCTTTACTTCGAAAAGGAAAATGAAGTCCACAAGTCTGAGTCAAACATAATCATCTGCAGCTCCTGAAAGTTATCTTCTGCCAGATCCAGCTACTCCAGGAGATGAGATTACTTCCCTCTCAGCAACTCCATCCATCATCGTATTTGTGTTAGTGGATGCCGTTTCTGTAGAACTACTGGAAATGTACTGGTGTGAGCGTTCCCTGGATTACTTCAAAACAAAGTGCTAAAGCCTTTACTTAAAGAGAGTTTGTTTCCCAGACCACAGTAGTAGGAACAGGCAAAAGAATACTTCTGAAGTAAGCCTTCCACTGACTTTGCCTGACTTCCTGCATATCGGGATAGACCATTCTTGACCTTGCAGGTGATCCTTGAAAATTACCTTGAAAAATCAAAGGCAGCAGAAGCCCTCTACGGATGCACAAGAGCTCCTGACTAAATTCAATATTAGCAGGAAGCATAAAGGAGGTAGAAGCAGGCATAGGTGACCCGGAAGAAATACAAAGATGCTGTCCAAGCATAGAAGGACATGCTTAGTAAAGCTAAAATCCACCTAAAGTTGAATCTAGCAAGGGACATATGTGAAGGGCAACAGGAAAGGCTTCCTGAAGTACATCAGAAGCAAAAGCAAGACTAGGCAAAATGTGGGCTGGCTGCTGAATGGGACAGGGGATTAGGTGACTAGGTTGCAGAAAAGGCCTTCTCAATGCCTTTTTCATCTCAGTCCTTACTGGTAGAAACTGCCTTCAGGAATCCCTTGTCCCCGAGACCAATGGTAAAGACTTCTTGTGAAGTTTGCACGAACACGTGAGAATTGAAAATTCTGGAAATATATTAGTATTTCCTATATCCCCTAAACGCAATTCCCTTCCTCACAAAATATTCAGACTAGGAGGTCAGAAACCAAAAAATATGGGAGCAAAGTCATACTTTCTGAACTCAGAATATATGCTGAATTGTACCATATACAATGCTTTCCCAACTTGAACTTCACATCCTTAAGAAGGCCCCTATCGTCACAAAAGATCCCTTGAGGACAAAAGAATTTTTGGTAGAAAAATGTGTTTGGCAACATATTTACTTAACCATCAATTTTAAAACACAATGGCACTTTTAAAGAAGTTAAGTAGAGGCCAAGTATTTTTTACTACAAGTACTGTAGGCTCACACCAGAAGAGAATCTTTTTTCCAAATGCTTTGTATCCTTATCTGTAAGGATAACCAGAATTACTAGCAAAACCTACTATTTACAAAAATTATTCCACCCACTGTCAGAATTATGCTAATCTTCCAGAGGCAGGGTATTTGCACTTATCCCCTTCCCAGTTGATGGACTGCAAGATGGGGACCAGAGGGGCAAAGCCCCTCCCACTGTAAGGGAAGAGCAGATTCGGGACTACCTCAGGAACCTGAACACACGTAAGTCTACAGGACCTGATGAGATGCATCCCAGAGTCCTGGGGGAACTGGCTGATGTCAGTGCCAAGCCACTCTCCGTAATATTTGAAAGGTCACAGCAGTCAAGCGAAATCCCTGGTGACTAGAGGAAGGAAAACATTGTGCCCATTTTTCAAAAGGGTAGGAAGGAGGACCCTGGGAACTACCAACCTGTCAGCCTCACCCTTGTGCCTGGGAAGATCACAGAACAGGTCCTTCTAGAAGCTACGCTAAGGCACATGGAGGACAGGGAGCTGATTCGAGACAGCCAGCATGGCATCACCAAGGGAAAGGCTTGCCTGACCAGCCTAGTGGCCTTATATGGTGGAGTGACTAGATCAGTGAACAAGGGAAGAGCTACGGAGGTCATCTATCTGGACTTCTGTAAAGCCTTTGACACAGTGCCTCACAACATCCTTCTCTCTAAATTGAAGAGATATGAGTTTGGTGGGTGGACTGTTTGGTGGCTAAGGAACTGGTTGGAAGGTCACAGCCAGAGGGTAATGGTCAACGGCTCGATGTCCAAATGGACGCCAGTGACAAGTGGTGTCCCTCAGGGGTCTGTACTGGGACCAGTGCTGTTCAACATTTTCATCAATGACTTAGCGAGATCTAGTGCACCCTCAGCAAGTTTGCAGATGACACCAAGCTGAGCAGTGCAGTTGACACACCAGAAGGACAAGATGCTATCCAGAGAGACCTGGACAAGCTCGAGAAGTGGGCCTGTGTGAACCTCACGAGGTTCAACAAGGCCGAGTGGAAGGTCCTGCATCCGGGTCGGGGCAACACCCCTGGTATCAATACAGGCTGGGGGATGAAGGGATTGAGAGCAGCCCTGCCAAGAAGGACTTGGAGGTACTAGTGGATGAAAAGCTTGACATGAGGCGCTCGCAGCCCACACGGCCAACCGTATCCTGGGCTGCATCAAAAGCAGCGTGGCCAGCAGGTCGTGGGAGGGGATTCTGCCCCTCTACCCCTCTACTCTGCTCTGCTGAGATCCCACCTGGAGTC